TAAAAGAATAATTTTTACATTGTTCTTTTTTTACAAAAAATCAAGTTTGAAGAAATGAGAAAAATTGTTCATATATAATTATATATGTATATTTTTAATCACTTATATATGAACAATTTTTCTCATTTCTTCAAACTTTTTGTAAAATAAACAATGTAGAAATTATTCTTTTAATTATTATATTTATGTTTCCTTCTTATTATTATCAATTTTGTACTAAAGAATAATTTCACAAAAGAAAGAAACATAATTATATGGACATATTTTGCATATAATTATATATAATTATATGTGGAACTTTTTTTCCCGGGCATATATTAACAATGCACGTGCAGATTAGTCAAGTTATACTTACATTAATACAAAACTATTTTTCCTATTATTTACGATACTTGAAAAAAATTGATATATTCGATAAAACGTATTTAATGATCGAAGAATAATGTGCATGCTCAAATTAAAAAAAAAAAATACCTTTTCATTTATTGCACGATCCACAGCCAATATCCGCAGTTGATACAGATACTTTCGTTCGTAATCCAAGGAACCCACTAAGCGTATGACGCCCTTGCCATTGACGGTCGATATGCTGAAAACGTTGTTATCGCCATCTAACTCCTGAAGGTAATACACCACTTGACCGTGAGCACCCAAATCGGCGTCAGTAGCTTCCACCGTTGTTAAGATACCCGGGCGTGAATCCTCCCGAAGTGTTAACGAGGTAGGATGTGGACGGAAAATCGGAACGTTATCGTTAATGTCCTCGACCAGAAGCAGGAGACTTTGGGTGATAAAATTTCCCTCCCCCAACCTTCCATCCGTCAATGTTAACACGAGTGCATATTCGTCTTTCGTCTGATAAAACACAACGGTACGTTTTAATATTAGGTTAAACCGGCCGCTTTAGACGATTCTATAATTTGTGTCAGAATTCAGGATGTAATTATGTTTCTAATTATAGTTTTATAATTAAATATATCTAAATATTATTTTATATTATTAATTTTTGTGTCATATAACAAAATATGTAAAACATTAAAAAAATCAAAATACATGCATATGCCAGAACACACACATATAAAACTATAAGTAATAAATATGATTCTATTCTAAAATTTGACGCAAACTGCTGATCGTTTAAAATGGAATTAATATTTGAAAGATGTATAAGAAAGTACTTAAAATATCGACATCGAGAAAGGAAGATCGAAATGTAAGAGATAAAATATAATTTGAGTTTGATCGATATAGCCTGTTAAAACTGCAGTACGTGATGATTATTATATGTTTCGATTTATACGAGCACCACATCATCGACGATAGAAAGTCAATTTCGAACGCGTTATTTTACGCGTGCTGTGATGACGGCTACAAATGATAGCTTTGCGCAGTGAATCCTCGTAAAGATGATGGCTAAATTACGTTTGTCTCCGCTGCTGATACTTAAATTTCTCTTTAATGGTTTGTTGGACTGTAATATTGAAGTTGCGATCCGAAGAAAAGGTAAATCGCTCGTGCAAAACAGAAATAAGTGCTGGGACAACATAAGAATTATTGCGGTATTTCTTCCTGCATTATCTTTACTTCTGTGTTGTTTTAATGGCTCTCACTTGACGAAGTTCTTGATTGTTATTAAGACGAGCAATTGTTAAGAATTAGTTTTTACTTCGCAATCTTTGATGTGATAATTTAGAAAATATCTTTTTGCCATAACTGCTTTCTTAGAATTTTGATAAATTAAAAATTATTCAAGCTAAGATTACCTCTCTGTCCAGTAATTTATTTAAATAAATGTTGGCTTCAGTGAGACCGAAATTTTCGACTTGAATCACATCGCTATCAGGCTGATCTCGAACGCCGAAGGTCAATACGTCATTATCTGGGTCGATGCCTCTGAGCTTGTAAATTAGGCTACCTGTAAATAATTTTTTTTATAGATTCATAGATTTTATAGATTCATTTTTTTATAGTATTTATGTGTTAGCAGTTATGTGAAATACAAATGAAAAATATGATGGTCATATAGAAGATAACGAGAACAAACTTAGAACAATTGATTGTGATCTTTTTAAGACAATAGAGATTATCCACAGATGAATTTTATAACTTCTTTAAGTCATATCTAACTATGAGAGATTTGTATGAAGAAAGAACGAAAGAAAAGCGAAAGAAGAGTCATAAAGAAAAGCCTTAATTTTCACAAGTTTATTCGCGTGTTAAAGATAAACGGTTTATACAACGGTGCTTGAAAATCGGCGCATTAAACTAGCAATAAGTTTTGTGATCCGTAACCAACCGGCGCAAATGTGCATGAAGACGCTCCCGTGTTGTTTCACTATGGATTAATCATAAATTTCTATTCAACTATTTACTTTTAATCAAAGTCGTAGCTATATAATAACACTTGCTTTATTATATGGAAATTTATATTTATTTGATGTCCACTCTTTAAGAATGATGTAGTCTTTTCTAAACATGATGCGTTATCCTTACCAATCGGAGTCTCAGACCCCTCCTTCAATCTGAGAACAATTTCTGTTTGTCCATCTATGAGAAATCTGGGAGGATTGTTTCTAGCCGAACAACACGTTAACAAATATCCAAATATGAAGTACAGCAATTCTATTTTAAACCGGCTCCTTTTACATGATCGTAACAGCCAGGAGGACGATCTCGTTTGCTTATCCGACGTCATCTTGCTCGAACGATACTTGTAATCGACATGTTCCTTCTAGAATTTTTCACTTCTTAGCGCTCTGAAATAAATGCACAAACATGCGATTCATCATAAAAAATAAGAATGTATTGAATAACAATTAAATAGGAATAGATTGATTAGTGTATAGATTGATAGATTGATATCTATTTAAAAGATATCATACTGCATTTCTAGCATTTTTATTGCATATCTTCTGCGTACATTTTGCAAATTTGGACATACATTTTATTTGTACGCGCGTATGCAGTCTATTTACTTGCTGCATTTAGTTTGATAAACTGGTAAACCGGTATTCACGCTGACTGGTTGCTTTCTCCTCGGTAAAACGTCGTCTTGATGCAATGTCAAGAGTATCTCGCCGCGAACGATCACGGAGATTAAACCGGAGTGAAAGCCTACCGGAAGAAACGACGTTTTCTCACGGCTCTTAAATTGTGCCGTACGCGATAATTAAAAGAATGATTTTCCCAGCACACCTAATCCCCTAGTACTCACATTATGCAAGCCATATTTAACAGCTCGGTCCTACTAGGATCTTACGAAATAATGATATAATATCGTATCCTTATAGAAGAGAAAGTGTTACAATTCGAAACGAGCTAATTTTGATTATCAAGAATAGGTATATTAAGGGGAGAACCGTGTGATAAATTTAAATTCCATTTTATGAATTCTAAGTGAACTTACTTTTAATAAAATTTCAATGTAAAGCTCTATAAAAAAAGTGTATAATTTTAATATTTGAAAATTATAGATGATAATGATCTTTCACTTTTTTCCGTAAGGGTCAATTAATTTTAAATTGCTTAAAAAAATCTATAGCTAAAAATGTTCGACAATTTTGAGACATTGTTTAACAAGATCTGACTGCAGAGACACGCGGAAGAAACGTTCGCGCTGACCCGTGCTCGTGTAAAAATTCTTCTTTAAGATAGTTTGACACTTAAGCAACACTGAGTGAGCACACCGAACGGTGCTCTTCTTGCCAACAGAGTGTATCCGCCACGCTCTTGACTTTTAAGACTCTGCTAAATAACAGGCTAGTGCGAAGCACTTCTCGATGTGCGGATACCCGTGTATTCAAATGTGCACGATGTGAGCTATCTGATTTCCAGCGAATAAAGACTGTAGCTTCTACACAGGAAAAAGTATCTCCTCTTATTCTGATGAGTATTGATAAGAATTATACCAGGTAACACAATTTTTATTTATACGATAATATAAACCAGGTCTTTCCGACTTGGCCTCAGACAATTTTCACGTTTATTTTCGAAGTCATTATACTACTCTGAAACATCACTGCAATTTCTATATATATAACTTTTCTATTTAGTGTACAATAGATAATAAACTAGTTTATGCAGTTCCCTTTAGAATCTCTCCGGAATATTATTCGACGTATTTTATTTTGTTGCGAAGTTTCTTTGCTGTTGAGAGTTTATCAATTGGAATTAATTATATATAATGATTCGTCTAATCTCTCATCTGCTTAGAAGTGTAATATTCGAATGCATAGCATGAAGAAGATTGCGTGACTGAAATTTTCTCCGGCTCCTCTTTACGACTGCACTCACCTTCGGGCATCGCGAAATTCTTCGGCAAGATTGATCGATAGAACATTTTAGATTCAGGATAATTTTATTGTTCGATATAATTTGTCGATTTTTACTTTCGACACAAGCTGTTGCCGTACCGGCAACAGTCACGCCGCGGCCGTGAGCATTGACCGAAAAGAGCAACCTGTGTATCTATATAAAGGAAGTTTTCTCTATGCACGCTGGCTCGGATAAAGGGGCAATAAGGTCGTTTCCAATGGGGGGGCTGTCCCGAGGTGCGTGACGTCATTTCCTACACCTGCCATGCATGCTTCCGAATGATAACACCGTCCGGGATATTGACATACGCCCATAATACTGTCTGTTGCCTGGCCAACCCCATACAGAATTTCCTTGCGTGACGGGCTCCCCCACACCGTGAATACATGTGTAAAGGATCTTCTTGGCGGGTGCGGACACGCCAGTTGTCTGGGATATCGAGACGTATTTCTTTTTCACAACGCTGCAAAATTGAGATAGTCCACGGAGAAGGAGTGGATAAGAATAGTCTCTTTCAAACAACTCCCGCATAAACTTTTCACTTTTCTAATTTGAATGTTAATTCTAATTAAAAGAAAGTATATATTATCTTGAAGAGATTACTGAACTTTTCATTATTTAATGTTATTTGCGTGAATTCGAGAAATTAATTTTTCAAAAAATATATATATATATATGATGCAGAAATTGTTAGCGATTCCACCATTGTTAGCGATTCGCCAACCGAAATTCGCCAATACCGGAATTCTCTGCGGTTACATCTGGTGTTACAACAATAAACAGATGCTACTGTGCGAACGAGGCATAAGTAAAATGAATTTCCTTTTCACACTGCGGTACGATGAGACTCGTGGGAGTGAAATTAACAGCGTCTTATCTCATCGTACGAATAATTATGATGAGATACAATGGCGTTGTGCGATTATTTAACGAGAGGAGATATAATTTCGTAACACTATCAAAGGATACATAAGCCGAGGAGAGTGATTGCATTCTTGCGTCACAAACATTCTCGTTTACTAATAATTAATATGTCGTCATGAGGAAATTTGGGTCAGTGCTAACAATCACCGATCACTATCCAGTGGTTAGCTTCGCTTCAACGTTTAATTTTGATTCCGTAATAAACGGAAGTCACACACACAGTATGTAAAGGCGAATCGCACGCAGGAGATATATATATAAATACATGTAACTGTGTCACAAATAATGTGTTACTAAATTAAAGTCTTATTATTTTAATTTAAATCTTTGCAAGTAATGTTTTTTTAAATTAGTTTTTATTTGATTTACAAGAAAAAAAGATTTGTCTAGAATGTATCAATCAAAATTTTATGGTAGAAATATAGTAGAAATATATATATCTTATTTTCGCCCTTTTGTGTTTCATATAAGTATAGACGAGGTATAACTTCAATTCTACTTCGATCGCGGAAAGAAATTAGAGGAGAGAGAAAGAGAGAGAGAGAGAGAGAGAGAGACCTTCACTTCTTACTGAAGTTTGTTGAAAATTGATTGTAATAATAAGTGTACGAAACGCGCCTTGCTTTACAGATTACAAGGCCAGTTATCAAAGAGTGGCTAACAATACCGTTGATTCCGCGAATTAAACTTTCAGTGGTGGTGTCAGATAAGCATTAATTGCACGTCAGATACGTGAGATTTCACACTGGCATAATTCGTACCAGGATGTCGACTTGTGATGGACGTGCTGTCTGTCAATGTCACGTTTTAAAAGTTCTGCGGAACTTTCTAAAAAATTGCAGCCCGCTACCTTTCCATGGCCAATCAAATCCGATAAAAGGGACAATTTATTAAAATGTGAAAATGAAGAGATAGCCATAGGCTTTACACCATATCTTTTAATCCTGCCAATGAATTTACTCTTGACATTTTATCATCAGAAATATTAGCAAGCTGTAACGTAGTAATTTAAATACACACACATTCTGTTGCTAATTATTAAAAAAATATTCAGCACACTCATTTTTTAATAGATGAAAAAAAAAACGAAAATCAGAACAATGGCTTAGATTGAATTTACGATTGTAAGTACAAAATTATACTAGTGTTTGTTTAAAAGTACTCACCAGAATTTTTATATGATGTACAACACAATGGCAGGAACAGATTTGTTTGGTATGTCTCAGCGATGAAAACGAATGTTTCTATTCACACAATTGTCTTATTGTAACTTCACGCTTTTAACATGTCGTCGGTGCTGGCGTTAGCATAATTGGGAAGCATGCAAATTGTGTTCGTACATTCAATTGTGTCAGTAAACTCTAAATTCAGGAATCAGATCAAATTAGTTAATTTATTATTACTGTTTTTCGCAATTATTTTTCACACTAAATCGTCGAATCGATGAAATAATTGATATTTCTTTTCTATACATTATCCATTTAAAATATATTGTGCAATGCACGTAATGCACATAATGGCGGGAATCGAGTTTATCATAATTTAATAATCAAATCACTGTCACTATAATTACGAACTCAAATTCTTTTTTTTTTAATTACTTTTTAATTTAATAATCACTATGTTTAAAACATTCACTCGAATTTGAAGAAAAATCATCTGCATTCCGCCATTAATCGGAAATGAAAATTTGCACGATCTAACTTAGTGAATAAAACTCTTCATTTAAACTCTTCTTACATTGCAAATAGCACTTTTGCATGTTTTGCACTACTTTTAAATTTAATGTAGGCAAAAGTAAATCGAAGTAAAATCGAATTCAATTCACGATCGCGAGATTAAAATGATGACAAACGAATTTGCATAGAACCGTGTCATCGCCCGATCGGCCGTGAGCGCGGCGCTCACCTGTCCGAGTGAGCTTACGATAGTAAACTGAAGGTACGGGCGAAGCCAGCGTGGTTCCCGTCGGGAGAGCGCGGATCGTTGCCTGGCATTCGTTCTGTGGCGTGAGCACTGACCGTGCACCAGAACACCACAAAACGTACGGTTGTTCCAAGTTAAATTCAGCCCGTCGTGCTCCCCGAGGCGTGCACGAGGGGGCTTTCCCCCTTCATCACAACCTCCGGTCACCTGTGCCACCTCACCGCCCGCAGGGGAAGATATATTTTGTGGGGAATAGCGGGGTACACACACACACACCGCCTGCGGTCCGCCGTTGATGGCAAAGAAACGGTAGCGCGCGATTATTAGCGCGATGGTATAATCTTCCATATCGGATATGCATGCGCACCAAAGTCGGATATAATACACATTTATTAATCTTTAAAACACCCTTAGAATGCGCGTGGTTTTTGTAACGAAGCTTTGTGAAAGGAAACAAAGTAATAGCTTCGCGAAATTTAAATTTGCGGAGAACAAAGGCGGTTATACATAATATACTGTAAGAATATGTTTCTAAAAATTATTTAAACGAAGACAAATTTTTATAAGCAATACAAAGAATGTCATAAAATGTATAAGAGTGCAGACTCTATTATAAAAAATTAATTTATACATTCTAAAATTAATAATTTGAACATTCTATTGAAGAAAATTAAATTTCATGTAGAAGGTAAAAAAACAAGAAATGCAAGAGAGAAAGGAATTGATTTTTATTTGTTAATAATACATGCATGCATAAGTAACATTTTATTTTTGCTTAACATTATATGAGATAAATTACTACATTACATACACATTAAATCGTATAAATCCTATGAAGATATGAAGAAACTGGTTTGTGAACTAGTTAATCTAGCAAGTCAAGTGTTACAAAGCTCGATCTGCTTTACCCGCTAGAGATGCTATCGATATAACTAGCGTTACAACAACTAAAAGTTGTCTCGTGGAAGGTATGTGCTTAAAACGTAAAAAAATTCAATGATCTATCGGGCTTAAATAATGTCTGAATCATCGTGTACCTACTGTGAGTTAAGTTCGTTGAACCTGACTAACCGGCCAGGATAGTCACTTTCAACATTGAACCTCAGATGTCGCATGCTGCTTTCCTGGAACATTTAAACATTTAAACATTTAAACATTTAAACATTGAAAAAAAAAAGACTACTTCGATTTGGGTTTTTTATTTTTGGAAACCATAAATAAAAATCAAATCAAATTCGTAAATGAAAACTTAAAATAAATTCATTAAATAAATTTAAAAAATACCGTATAGTTACGGAAGTGTTAAAAGAACAATAAAAAAAGTTTTTTACAATCTGTTTTTTTAATGGATATTTAAGAAATGAGTGATTGAGCTATTAGCATATTAGCATATTTATTCAACATAATAACCATCATATTCTTTCACATTGATTTATGTTAAATTTTACGATCTTTTACGATCGTTTTACGTCGTACGATTGTCATCAAATATTTCTTCTTACATACCAATCGTACGTTCGTGTCTCAAGGTCTCTCGATCGTTTCAGTCATGACAAATCTGTCGCCAATTACATGATCTTTACAAACGTGAAATCGAAGCTAGTAGACCTTGAAGGCGCCTACGCGTGGTGAGCCGCGCGTAAAAAGTTCTACAGACAAAATTGGAACAACGTATCAATGACGATACCTGAGAAAGGATGTCATCGCGTAGGATGATACACGGTAATAAACCGCGACTATGAATGTAGAGGCTCGCGAACTATTAAAGTTTCTACCCGCATATCAATTCGTTACTATAATTCGAGTATCGTTAACGTTGTTTTCTCTCCATGCTTGTTTCGTTTAGATTCAGGGATTTCGTCCGTAGAAAAAAAAAGAAAGTACAATTTACTATCATCTATCCATTTTATCTCTTTCTTCTTGTTTGTGTCTCTTGTCTCGTATCTTGTTCGCCTACTACACGCCTTTTAATTACAGATCGATTCTAGATTACAGACAGCTCAATCGCTCTTTGGAGTTTTAGCAACTGTTTTATACATCGTTTTGTTCACGTCTCAAAATCTCGATCCCATTGATGGTAGCCATTCGACTTGATACATGACTCGTCGAAAGGGACATTTAGCCCTGGCGGCGCGGCGCAGCTTAAACGAAAAGAAGACATAACTGTGCTTTAGTGTACGCAAGCAACTTTTCTCATTCCTTTCTTCTCCCTCTTCGCTCTTATCCTCGCGCAGCGCTTACCGTTACAGCTATCGGATGCTCTTTCAAGCGACAGTCGCGGAAGATAAGCACAAAGATAAACTATTAACGCGTAGCCTGGCTGAAGGTTCTGCTTCCCTATCATTTCTCATTCGCTCGAGAAGCGAGTATCATTAATTCAGTGATTGCCGCCATGTAATTCGCGAAATTCAAAGTCATTTTCAAAGTTCGCTTGATCGATATCGTATTGTCGTACATTTCGACGTTCACGCAAAGCACAGTCTATACACTTAAACACTTTTTTTTCCTTTCAAAAGTGTTTAATTCAATATCTCTTTACGGCGCTCTACAAGACAAAATTATTGGTCTACGGTCAATTAGCCTTGCAAGTATGCGTCAGATGTATTACTGGCCGAACAGGATGCCGCGTTTCATCGCCGCGGCGGTGACCGTCATACGATCTCATCAAATATTGCCTCCGGACCGCCCCGCGGGCTCCGAGCGCAGCGTTTTTCGAACGGCCTCCGCTAAGTATGCGACTCGCGCCGTAGAGAGTGTTGCCGATGTGTACCAGAAGAAGTGGTAGGGTTAAAATAAAAGACGAAAAAAAAGCAAGAGGAAAAAGGAAAGGAAAAAAAGAAATTGAAAGAGTGGAGGGGCGAGACGTCCTTTATTCCGATGCATAAGCGTGCCTTGGTACAGGCATTAACCCTCCCCACCATTTTCTCTCTCCCTTTCTCTTTTCCTCGCGCGCCGCGGCTATAGTCATCGGATTCTCTTTTAGGGACTGTGCTAAGACTGCCAGATGAAAGTATATAACCGGTTCGCAGCTGCAGCCAGTCCGGGAGACCTGGGGTATCGGCCGGTGTGCAACTGGCGAGCGCACACCACGAATCCGTGGCGCCAGGAACGGATTCGTCGCCCGTGGTCCCAAGAAAGGACACGTACGGACGTCTCCTTCGGATATCCTGTTTCAAAAATCCCCGTTAATCCTTCTCGCAACAGTATAGCCTGCGCCCAGGTAGAAAGTGCAAAGCGTAGAAACGATATAAAATATGACTTCTATAGGGTAGACAGCAATCTAGACTTAGAGCTAGACCTAGATTCACGTAGCAGGTGGTCTTATGACGGACTCAAAAGGAACGCGACGACCTTACCGTTTCCTGACGTCACGATAGTGCTGGCGAAACCTTTTTACATTCCGATCTCTTTAACTGTTCCGTTAGAATATCCTTAGCAGCCTGCATCACGGTTGCATTGTTTCGCGGTATTCATATAGTCGCATATGTAGCTGCAATCAAGTAGAAATATATTAAGATATATAGCGAGAACTAAACGCGCAACGCAATGCCTTTTTAGAAATCTTTTATACATTAAGCCTTCTCATGCAAGACTAATGTCTATATCTGTCATAAATGTCATGCTGTTATTGATGAACGTTTCGTGTGCGAAATTCATCTGCATCTAACGTACACAGGTAGCATGATCTTTCTAAACCGGATGTTCAACGCGGACGTTCTTTCTATAAAAAAAAAAAAAAGACGAACAAACTGATCGAAGGATATCCGCAAATCATGCGTGAGACTATGATGAGACGGCAAGAAGCGAAGAAAATGAAACGCGCGAAACGAACGTTATACAGCATGTTCAGGAATTGGCAAAAAACAGTCAACGTCGCGTTGACTGTCAGAGTCAATTTCTTCGTATAATAAAAACGGAAATTATTATTTGTACTTCAATATTTTAGACCTCAGTATTTTATCCCGCGATAATTGAACTGCCAAATGGAAACTTATTTTTTTATTTTTAAAGTACAAGTGCTATCGAGAGCCTCGAGATTTTTGCAGAGAAAAATCATCTGAATGTACGTAGCACATCGTTTTCCGTATATTGTGCAAACGAGCGACAGTCATAGTAGATGAACGCGGCAAAGTGACGGAAGATTCGAGGAGCCATGGGATAATCATGCACAGCGCCGCTCAGCTTATTACGTTTAATGATCTTCAGAGATGAAGCGCGCTTGATCTTCCGTGACGGAATAAGGTGCGTCCTCCGGCAGGATATTGTATCAAAATTGAAATAGCACATAAATATACTTAACGTTCGATTTACTAACACGCGCGGAAGTCGATCGTAATCATCGAAAATTTAAAAATCCACAGAAGCTGTCCGACAATTAATTCTCTCAAAGTAATCAATTTAAAATTTTGGAAACATATATTATTTGACAGATATGACTAAATGATGAAGGCTTTAAATATGTACATTTTATTATTATTTTTTTGTATATATATTTAAATAATATATTTTGACAATGATATCCCCTAAACTCCGAATAAGATTTAATTATAAAATAATCGGAACATCCGTAGAAATCGAAATCTAATAATAATTGCTTTTGAAAAACAGCATGGGTAAACACAATTGCATTGATCTTAAATATAAAGAAATGCTGCAAATGTAATACAAAAGGCAGCGAATTACTTCGTTCGTTAATTGTAGCCGATAAACGGAATAATTACAGCATGGTAGAGAATTTTTAAAAAGTTACAGTAGCAAATTTTTTACACGCTATCGAACGCGATACTGCACTCAAGGCAATTCACAAACCGACGGTCGCGAATCAGAGTACAAAAGTACGCTTGTGAAGAGCTGTCAGAAGACTCGAAGAGGTAATGTCGTCCAGGTGCTCGACCGACCTCTGCCGAACTCGCCTCCACCCCCTCTCTCATTTCTTTTTTTTTTGCTTTCTCTCTCTCTCTCTCTCTCTCTCTCTCTCTTCCGTTATTCTCCTTCGACTTCTTGGGCTCGTCATGACCAATCGGTCAATCCCCCCCTTTTTCCACACACAACGCGA